CTGTTGGGGGGGGGGGGGTCTGAAGGAGGTTGTTCCCTCTTCCCCCTCAGCAGAGAAATTTAAGGGCAGTGAATCCAGTGCTGTCAATTTGAGTGCTAAAAAATTTCCAGGATCAATGGTGGTGCTAAACTCTCTCCATGTTTCTAATATTTTTAATAGTGGGTTTTGTTTTGTTTTGTTTTTTGAATTGTTCTCATCACAAAAATGCAGCGTCCTTGGGGAAGGGACCCAGCCCCTTGACCTGCCGCTTTCCAGGTGTCCTTTATCATTTTGATGGGATTCTTTGGTCTGCAGAAAATACTCTGCCTTGGCATGCTTCTAGACTGTAAGATTTGGGTTGTTTTGTATTTTGTTTATGTTTACATGCATCTTGTATTTCCCTGAAAACTAAATAAAGTTTTTGCCTTTTTAACTGAACAGAATCACCTCCTGATTCTCCCTGCCACAAGAAAACATATCCAGCTGAGTGGCAAAAGCCACATCACCCCAAATGAAACATGAACTGCAGGGTCCGGGCCCTCTGAGGACACTGGAGGGGTGGGGGGACAGGTAAGTTCCCACTGCTGCCGGTGAGAAGCGTGCTCAAGCCCCTCCACCCCTCTCCCACCTTTGGGAGGCTTTCTGGGCGGTAGCCAAGGCTTTTAGAGAGGGATACAGATCTTGGGGCCAAAGAGCCACATTCAGTGGGCCTACGTGGCCCCTCAGCTTAGAGCCCCTGACCCTCCCCTACTTTTGCTGGACTCCAGTAAGCAGGGCTGGGCAGTCCTGGTGTGGGGAGTAGCCCATGGCTGTTCAAGGCCAAGCAGAGGCTGGGCAGCTAGAGCATCCTCCCGAGAGAGAGGAAGGCAAGCATCCCATGTCCCTCTGAGGCCCAGCCTGCCAAATGAGTTCAACTCCCACATTGTGCCCAGACCCCGTCCAGCGCTCCAGCTTCTACCGCCACCCAGAGGTACTCAGCCCATCTAGAAAGTTTTTCCGAAGGTCCCTGACCGAGGCCTCCCTTTTCTGCCTAGCTGTGCCACTCATTTGGCATAGGCCTCCGCACCGGCCAGTGGGAGCGGCAGCTGAGCTTCCAGGTCTGGGCTTGGGGTGAGACGGGCAGGCCCTGTTCTGGGGAGCTCAGCACAGTGCCTGCCACCCTTTAGCCCCTAGGTGGCGCTGCCCCTCCACAAAGGTTGCACGCCAGATTTAGACCCGGCTCAGCCTCGGGAGTGCCACGGACCCAGGGACCCGAGGCCACCGAGGGGCAGTAGCGTCTCCCTTTCAGCTTACGGTGAGGCTCGCCTGGCGTTCTGGCCACTGCTATCCAAGCCCCAGGTCACGCTCCAGCCGCCTCCCCCTCCCCTGCTCTCTCCAGGGAGTCTTTCTTGATCGTTGACTCCCCTCCTGCACACCCACCTGCCCGCCTGCCCTCCGTCGTCGTCGTCGTCGTCGTCGTCGTCGTCCCCGCCCCCCCGCACCGTCCCCAGCCCTCCAGACTGCACAACACAGCCCTCAGGCTGGTACGAAATCACCTTTATTCACAATCATCAGTCACGGTGACCCAGGTTCACAGAGGAGGCAGCAGCTAACCCCAGGCTAGCAGAGACAACAGGATGGTGGCTTCCTCTCCCTGGCGCACAGGCTGTACAGCCCCTGCATGTAAGAACTGTCCTTGTCTGAGAGGGGACCCCTGACTGGGTGGGGCCACACCAGCCCCACCTCACCCCCCTCCCACAGAAGGGGTCTACAGGGTCAGTGGGGAGGGGAGACCCATGGTAGGACTGTGGCTTCCCTGCCAGGCAGGTGCAGACAGGGCCCGCCTGGCATCCTGACCCCCTCCCTGTGCTGTCCCACCACACCACCCCCACCCCATAGCATCCCCCACCAGAGAACCCCGGAGTCACAAGGAAAGTCCCTCCCGACCCCAACAATCACTTTACAGAGGTGCCAGCTGAGGCTCAGAGAGGCTGTGACCTGGTCAGGGCCACACAACTGGTCAGTGGCCAGGTCCAGAATCCCACGCTCTGCCAGCCATACGGCAAAGCAGTCTCCGACAGGTGTAAAAAACTATCTGAGGGGGCCGAGGGCTGGGAGGCTCGGGGGAAACTAGGCCAGGACTCTGAGAGCTGGCCCCAGCCATGGCCTATCAGGACAGGGCATGCAGGGCTGAGATGACTATAACCTAAGAGCAGCTGTGGGGGCTACTCCCTCACCCCAGCCTCAGGACTAAGAACCTAGAGGTGCTGGGACCCATCCCCTTCCCTTCTCCTCTTTCCTGGGACCAGAGAGCATAAGAACAGGCTCCCTACCCCTACAATGATGAGGCCAGCTGGCCTTCCCTCCCTCAGCTTGCCCAGAACTTTTTATGTCCTTATGGAGGAGGGAACTCCTGGGCCTCGTGATGTATAATGAGCCAATTGTGATAACCCTGCTCCAGCCCAAGAAGGGCATTTTGTGGCTCTGGGGTGATCCCCCTAGTCTCAGGGCACTGCAGAGGCTCTGCTGCCCTCTCTATAAAAGGGATACAATTTGTGAGAAGGCCTCCCACTTCAGCCCCTTTGGAGTTCTACCTCATGGTAAGCAGAGCTGGCTATGGACTTCTGGGCTGCAGTCTGGGGAAGATTTTGAGTGATGACTACCTCTGCTGACCCCTCTAACCAGGCACCCCACCCACCAGGACAGCATTTCTAGGGGTCTGGGGAATGGGAATTCAGTTCCCGCCCCCCCCCCACCCCGCCAAATAACCCCTACAAACCCAATAAATAAATAAGTTAAAATACAGAAGAAGCCTGTTCTTACTCCAGGGAACCCCCTGCTCCCAACCCAGGGCCCTGCCCTCTCCTGGGGATGCTACAGCCTCTATGAGTATCAGCCCGGCCCAGAATAGCACTGAAATGGGGGAGGAGAGGTCACAGAGGGTAGCTGCAAACCTGTTCTTCAGAGAGTCTGACAGAAGACAGACCCTGCTCTCCAGCCCACACCAAGGGGCTGCCCCTGGGCAGCAGCATCCAGCAAGATGACTGGGGCAGACAGGCTATGACCAGAAAGGGGCCTTCCACATCTCAACCAGGCCAGGGGGCTAGGGACCCAGAACCTGGAGCCTTCTGTAACCTGTCTGTCCACCCATCCAGGGTGAGGGGGAGATGGACATGGCATGGAGGCTGCAGCCTGCCCAGAATGAGAGGTATCCACTGGCCGCCTTACCCCTGGCTTCCAGGCCCAAGGGGCAAGGAAGAAAGGAAGGAGAAGGTAGGTGTAGGTCAGAGAGTAAGGCAGCAGCTCAGGAGCTGCCTGCCTAGGGCTGCTGTTGCACAGGTTGTGCACTGCTCAAGGACAGTTGGCTGAGGGAGAAAATGGAGGCTGAAGTCCAAGTCCACAATCCACTAGCCAAGCCACATGTCTGGGCTCAGGGCCACATCTGCCCAGAGGAAGGGACACACTTTCTAATTCTCACAAAGGTGCCACACAGGCTAGAAGGACCTCCTGGGAATCTACCCCGGATGGGCAAGGATCAGGAGAAGCTGAGACCCCAGTTTAGCTCCTCAGCGTGCAGGGAAGAGCAGGCGATTTGCTTCTGCCCCCACCTCCCTGCCTGATACCCCTTCCTCCCCAGACCTTTCGGGGCTGTTTCCCATGTTTAATGAGAAGGGAAAAGAATTTCCAAAATGAGGAAGAAGAGAAGGGGCCCTGCTGACTTGCCCCTCAGGTAGAGCTGGGCCGGAGTCTGAGGAGGTGGGCGTGAGGGGTAGGGCACCACGACGGGCTAGGAGCTGCGGTAGGTCTTGATGATGTCCTTGATGGGGCGGCGGCAGATGGGGCAGCAGGCGTGTAGAGCCTTCTTGAGGCGCAGGCCACAGGCATAGCAGAGGCACATGTGGCCGCATGTGTAGATGACCGTGTCCACCATGTGCTCGTAGCAAATGGTGCACTCATCGCTCCACGGGCCCCCGCCTGGAGTCACTGGCGACTCTGGCAGGCTCACAGGTGAGTTGGGGGCCGTCCCTGGGGGCAAGGGGAAACCAGTCAGGAGGAGACATGGCCCAGCCTGGTCCCAGGTTCATGAAGAGAGCCCCCTGGCCTCTCCCCCTCCATTTATCAGGATCGGCCTGTCTAACCTACCACCCAACTTCCTGGGCACAAGAGAGGAGAGGATACACTCTGGACAGCCCCACCTCTGGCCCCTCAGTGCCCAGGCCAGGGGCCAGGGTGTCCATGAGGCATTGAGAGGAGGAGGGAGGGATGGAGGAAGGAAGGGGGCGCAAAACCATTTAAGGAAGGCCCCTCCTGAGTTACCCTTTGGTGTTCTTTGTGCTAAAGAAGTCCTTTGGAGAAAGCTGCCCAGTCGGGGGACAGGATGGGATACACCCCGGAAATTACCACTCAGCCAGGGTTCACTGGGCCCATCTCCAGCTCCTCCAGGGCCCAGTCCTGATACAGAGGCTGCATGCCTGCCTCAGCCAGGGCAAGGGTGGGGATGGGGTCCTCAGGGTGGGAGGCCTGGCATGGTCACCATGGAACTGGAGGGGTCGGCATACTTACCGCCAGCAGAGTTCCCCAGAGGTCCAGAGCTGCATGTGCTGAGCAACGGGTCAGAGAGGCGGATGCCCAGGGCTCTGGGTGAGGTTGGTGTGGAGGCAGGGGAGCAGGAGAGTGACGGGATGGCCCGCTCTGCCAGGATGGTGGAGCCTGCAGAAAGGGTGGGAAGGAGGGAGGGACAAACTAGCCACTCAGAGGCCCACTGGTAGAAAGCTCGAATCTCCACCCCTCTATTAGGTTCCCAGGAGAGAAATGGGTGGTACAGCTTGACCACACGGCCCAGCCATAAGGCTCAGGGTGGGACTCCACCGACTGGCTCGGCACCCTGCCCTAGCTCTCTGTTCCCGCCTACAAATTGGAGGGCCACACACATCGTGCTCTGGTGTTACTGCACCTGCCATCTCCAAACAAGCCCCCTGCCTAGAATCCCACCTCCACCTTTCCCCATGCTTCCCTCACCTTCAAGGTTTCCCATGCCAGAGAATGAAGTCGCCTTCCTCCCACCTAGCATGGCCCTTCAAGCCCTGGCCTCACCATCCTAGTCAGAGCCCCGTGCTATCACCCCCCTTCTCCTCTGCATTGGCACCTTCAAAATACTCCACACCACCTCCCACACTTGATCTGCCCAACCTTCCTTCCTTCCTCTCTTCCCTCACTTTCCTCTTCCCGTCCATCCCTCCCTGCCTCCTCCCTTCAACAAGTCCTTGCTGAGAGCCTACCAGGTACCAGACACTGTGTATATATAAAACTGGGAATGAGGCAGACAGAGCCTTTGCCTTCAAAGAGCTAACTGTCCAGGGAGTCTCTTGGGGCTATCCTCAACCCCCTCCTCTGGACAGCCTTGACCGCCCCCCCCCGCACCCGACAACCACATATCTCTATCTAGCACTGACCAGCCACACACGCCATGCACGGAAATAAAAAACCACAGAGAATAGGAAATTATTTGTTCTTTGCCCAGGAACGTAACTTTGTTTCCCTACTTAAACCTTGAGCTTCCTGAAAGCAGGAAGTCTGATTCACCTGTAAGTCTCCCACAGGCCCTAACATAATGCCCTACACATAAATAAGTGCCCAGTGAGATATTTTTTACTACTATTCATTCTAATTCATTTAATAGTCACTGTTTCTAAGAATATTCATTAGCTGTCCATAGGATTTCTCTTATTAGTGTTAACAGGTTTCAAGTTAATTATCATCCCCTTTCAGAAATTCATAACTCCTATTTGCTTTTCTTGCTTTATTGCACTGGTTAGCATTTTCGGAACAATACTATAAGGCATCTCTATCATATTCCTGACTTTCATAAGAATATTTCTAATGTTTCACCATTAAGCATGAAACTGACTGTAGTTTTGGAGTGAAGGAAATATCTTTTCATTCTTACTTCACTTAGGCCTTCAACAAAGCAAAGCATTCCTCTATAAGGTAAATAATTATCCTTCACACATTGTTACTGACCTGTTTTTCCTTTAAAGTCAGTCAGGATCCCCTAACACCAATTTGTTAGTTGAGATGCCCCATTCTCCAAACAGCTCAGGAGCACTCTGTTTAGCGTATATTAAATTCTGAATGATTATTCTTCAACACCCACCTTGACCTACTTCCCTCTGGGGACATTTAAGGCCTGGGTTGTTTCTGTTTGTTTGTTTTTAAGCTTCTCCTTTGCTCCAGTCTAGTAAGCTTCTTTGGGCAACAGAAGCTTCACTGGAAAGCTACTTATCTATTATTAGATGGTGCTGAGGCAAGAGAAGTACCTTGCCATTATGTTATTTCCTTCATCTGAGGAACAGTGTCTCCTGGTGAATGTAGCCAAATATCTGTGTACCTCAACCTGATTTTTTTTTCTGCACCCCAGTCCGATTTGTTTTTATTCCATCCTGAATTTTCACCCCAATTTCTTTCCTTACTGATTGATGGCTTTTCATCTAGCCTGATTTCTTTGCACCTCCTTCCTGACTTATCTTCCCTCAATCCTAACTTCTTAGCACCCCAGCCCCATTTCTTTTCATTCCTTTTTAAATTTATTTTACACTCCATCTTCATCTGGTCTCTTTCCAGAGGAGGAAGTCTCCACTGATTTTATCTGATTTCACAAAACTCTCACAATCACCAACAGCATTACACACACAAATATGCATACGTTTAGTTACTCACGTGTGCCTAGACACAGTATGCCAATCTTACAGCGTAAACTCATGCTCGCTCACATACACACATTACCTTGTCTATGAAGCCTCTTGGGGTGAGGTCTAGGTCAGGGGCTGTGAGACCCAGGGGTCTCCAAATGTGTCTAAGCAAACTTGCTGAGGAAAAAAAAAATTCAGATGCCCGGGACCTAATCTGTGATCTACAGAATCAAAACCTCTGGAGGTGGGATTCAAGAATCTGCACTGTAGTAGGTTCTCGGAGTGAGTCTAATCCTGCTGCAGAGCAGACCAGCACTTGGAAAGCATGAACACCTGCTCACTCAGGGGTAACAGAGGTTCCTGAAGACACACGTTAAAAAAAAAAGATTTCTGGTCAAACGAGCTTGGAAAAGCTGGACACCATAACCACCACCACCCTCTCCTAAAGGTTCACGTTGTATATTAAAGGCTCTGAGAAGTTCTACAGTAAAGAATCGCCTTCTTTTTAAAAACTCAGTATTTCCCAAACATTTTGGACCCAAGGACCCGTTTTCAATGGACACCTATCCTGCAGAACACTCTGGGAAACATGGTTTACACAAGTCCGCATCACCCAGTCCATTCAAACTCTGTCCATTCAAACCCAGGAAGGCCCAGACATCTGCAATCCCCTTTCCTCCAAGGCCCTCTGCTCGGAGATTCCCCACAGACCCCCAATCTAGGCACCACCCTGCAGAGATACCTGGTTACTGACATACCAACCTCTTTTTCTTATTTAGACACACAACCACCCTTAGAGGCAGAGACCTTTATTACCATTTTAGGAGAAATGGAAACTGAACCTCAAAAAGTTCGCTGCTGGTGGAAACAATTTTCTCCTTCCCCATTTTTAAATGGCCACTGGGCAATGTGTAAGAGAACTGTTTACGTATCTGTGGGAATGTGGGTGAATCAGATTCTGAGCGTGAAACTCAATGTTCCCGGCTTTTCTCCCCCTCTCCAAGGTTTATCTGGTGAGATCTGAGCACTATGGACTAGATAATTGAGTCCCACCCAGAACTCATCTTCGGTGTCTGTGACTCCTTGACTAGACCCCATGAAGGGCGGGGTGGGCACT